AGTAGTAGTAGTAGTAGGGGTAGTGGTCGTGGTAGTGCTAGTTGTTGTCGTCGTTGTCGTAGCACTGGTAGTGGTAGCAATAGTTGGGGAAGGATGAAGCGGACAGTAGCAGCAATGGTGGCGGCAGCAGTCGCAGCAGTGGTAGTGGTAGCAGGAATAGTAGCAGTAGTCGTCGTAGTAGAAATTTTGCTAGAAGTTGCAGTAGCAACAGCAGTGGCAGTGGTCGTCGTCGCAGTAGTAGTAGTAGTAGTAGTAGTAGTAGTAGTAGTAGTACAGTAGTAGTAGTAGTAGTAGTAGTAGTAGTAGTAGCAGTAGCAGTAGCAGTAGCAGTAGCAGTGGCAGTGGTAGGTAGTAGTCGTAGTCGCAGTAGTAGTCGTAGTAGTACCCGTGCTAGTACCAGGAATTTGTGATTGTAATCGTTGATGAAAGCAGTAGCAGAAGTAGGAGAAGCAGTCGTAGTGGTAGTAGCGGTAGCGGTAGTGGTAGTGGCAGTGGTAGTAGTAGTAGTAGTAGTAGTAGTAGTAGTAGTAGTAGTAGTAGTGGTAGTAGTAGTAATTAGTAATAGTAGTAGTCGTAGTAGTAGTAGTAGTAGTAGTAGTAGTAGTAGTAGTAGAACGTAGTAGTAGTAGTAGTAGTAGTAGTAGTAGTAGTAGTAGTGTCGTAGTAGTAGTCGTAAGTAGCAGTAGTAGTAGTAGTAGTAGTAGTAGCAGCAGTAGTAGGAGTAGTAGTAGCAGTCGTCGTCGTCGCAATAGAAGTAGGAATAGCAGTAGTAGAAGTAGCAGTAGCAGAGTAGCAGTGACAGCAGCAGTCGTTGTAATTAGTAGAAGTCGTGGTTGTGGTGGTGGTGGTGATGGCGGTGGCGGTGGTGGTGGTAGTGTAAGCCAAAGCACGAGGCAAGTGTGTCCATCGAGTGGGAGCTCTCCAGTCTCCAAGTAGTCCTGGATTTTCGAGACACCTTGGCATCGCAAGACAATTCGAAGCCTTCGGTGCTTTCGATGTTTTCGCGGCAAGACACACCATATACACCGACGAGCCGCAAGCAAACTTCGCCAAGGAAAATGTGTAGTTCATCAACTGGTTGCTCTCTTCTGCCTGACCCAAAGCAAAGCTCTCCATGTCAGCGTGTGTTCAAGCCCTCGTAGATACAAAAAATACTCAGCACATGTCAGCTGGTGGCATGTCCCGTCTCGGGTCAGCAGCGACGTCGGGCTTTTCGGATTTCGGCCAACATCGAAGCTGAGGCACTTTGGCAAGACAAGAGGCTTGCAAGCCACACAATGCGGACGGCTTGCAGGGTCCAGGAATTACGGCCCCCAAAGCACGCGCATTCCCGACCACGAGCCTCCTTGTAGCTTTCTGACAGCATCTCGCCCAAAGGTCCGATAAGGCCAATGCAGTGCCTGTACTGCAAGCAAGGAGGCTTTCAGCTGAATAAATGAATGGAGTCGTGAAATACTCATACGGGCACTCTCAGATGTGAGGCATTGTCATCGCAGATAGATAGGTCATTTCATGGAAACACATAGAAAGCCACAGTTATCGAAGGCGCTTCAGCCCTCCTACTCCACTCGAAGGAACCAGATTCGATCGTTATGAGGGCGTGTGTTGGTCACAAGTGACTAGTTTTCCCAACCATTTCGGTGCAAATGCGAATGCACATCAGATTGATTCGGAACAAGCGGGGCCGGGGAGGGGGTGCGGGTGTACTTTTGCACATGTTTGAAACCACACCGGAGTTAGCATAGCCTTCTTCAGCCAGGACTTTCTTGGACAGCGACACACGTACTGACGAGGACGCATTCATTCATTGTCATTCATTCTCTCATCAATTCCATTCCATTCCATTTCATTTGTTTCATGTCCTTTCATTTCTTTCCATTCATTTCATTTCATTTCATTTCATTTTCAATTTCAATTTCATTTTCATTTTCATTTTCATTTCATTCATTTATTCACTCATTCAGTCATTTCATTTCATTCATTCTTTTCTTTCGTTCACTCCATTCCATTCCATTTCATTTCAGTTCACGGCATTTCATTCATTCATTTGTTCGTTCCTTCCCTCATTCCTTCATTTCATTTCATTTCATTTCATTTCATTTCATTTCATTTCATTTCATTTCATTTCATTTCATTTCATTCCATTCCATTCATTCATTCGTTCGTTCCTTCAATCATTCCTTTATTTCATGCCATTTCATTTCATTCCGTTCCATTGCATTCCACTCATTCATTCATTCGTTCGTACCTTCCTTCATTCATTTATTTCATGTCCTTTCATGTCATTCCATTCATTCATTCATTCATTCATTCATTCATTCATTCATTCATGCATTCATTCATTCATGCATTCATTCATTCATGCAGTCGTTCATCCATTCCATTCCATTCCCTTCCATTCCATTCCATTCATGCATTCATTAATTTCATTCATTCATTTCATTCATTCCTTCCTTCCATCCTTCCATGCATTCATTCATTCATTGTTTGATTTCATTGCATGTCATTTCATTCCATCCGTCCATCCATCCATCCATCCATCCATCCATCCATCCATCCATCCATCCATCCATCCATTCATGCATTCGCTTGTTCATTCATTCATTCATTCACTCGTTCATTTCTTTCATTCAGTCATTTCTTTCATTCGTTCATTCATTCATTCACACACTCTTTCATTCATTGAGGTGTGGCATTGTCACTAGCAGTGTTGACCTTGTTGCTGCTACGACTCTGTATCAGTGTGACCGCTACACTACATTCTCACCAACATGAACATTTCAACAACATGCATTTCAGCAGCTTGCAGATACACACAATGAAAGAGCACCTGTAAGTCCAAGACACACATACCAAAGAAACCAGCCAGGAGCACCCCTGATACTCCCAAGATTGGCCCTTGAGTCCATGATGCCGCACGGCGGTGGCCAACGACTGACACCCATTGTGGCAGAAGCGCGACTTCGACTTTGGCAGGCCGAAATGCACGGGACTGTGGCGGGCAGAATGGCTCAACTAGGTTTCAACGGGAATTTACGGCTATCGGCGTGTGCGTGCGCGATTACGTCACACTGGCCCAATTAATCCTTTTCCTCCTCATCGAAGCACCACCCGGTGTTACCACACACCGCTTGGAGAATAAACAGAACGACAGATCGCGCAACAATAATTGGAACGGTAACAGCGGCATTCAAACCCGGAACCTACAACCCCAAACCAAAGAGTGCAAACCCTGCACCCTGGATGCTCTGCAAGCTTAGATGCCCATACCCCTGCCAAGTCATCAGGTGGCCCTGCGGGAAGGCACTACGCGCAAGCTGTGCGCTGGTGTAAGCGGTGTTCCTGAGATCGTCGGATCGGGTATGGGAATCTGACACCGAAAAATTGTGGGGCTTCGGAGGTTGAGTTATAGGGTATGGATCTTGTGAAATGCATCCACGGCAGGCACGACAAACGGGAGGCTACATGGAGCTTGCAGAGTGAGCTCCAGTCCTGATGCAAAGAACGACGGAACGACATTTCACCCTGCTCCCCGAGACTGCTTCACGCAGAGCAAAAGATTCGATAACATGCCGTCAGAAGAAAACATGACCGCACCACCGAGACCATGTTCCGGTCCGGTGACGCAACGCGTCCAACCCTCGTAGCATATACGAGTTCGGAAGAGCAGATCAGGGTCGATCGAAAAGCTCCGACGAACTGCATGGGAGTTTCTCACTGAAGGGGTCTGACGGTCATGTCGTTTAGGACCCTACCGTTGCTTTCGTTTATGTATTGGGGTGCCTCATCCTCAAGAAAACCACAACTCCGAACAACCCTATTCAGATCTAGGGGTGTAAGGTACTCCCCATAAACTCGCTGCCGACAAGGCATGGAAACAAAAGGCTAAATGGGGGTTTCCGAAACTAAGGGGTACCTTATTTTGGGTCCTTATAATAAGGATCCTACTATTTGGGGTACTAGATTAGGGTCCCCTATTTTCGGAAACCCCCAAATTTCCAGAAGCATATATCCCCGGGCCGAAAGTTTCGAGCTACACATGTGTTAGCTAACATGCTAGGCTCTTGCGGAGTCCCATTGCCTCAGAGTGCCGTTTATCCTACTCAGGCTAGCGGAGTAATTTCTACGCCGTTTTAAAACTATCTTTTAGTTCCGGAGGAGGCCCCAGGGCTCACTTTTGTTGGGAGCCTATGGGGAAGAAGGTGGGGGACTGGGGCGTTCGAGCATGTTCAAGCTAGTGGGTCGAACTATCGACCCGGCGCAGTACTCATTCGGCTCATTCGGTTTTGGAAAGCTAAATGGACATGCTATACAGCGAACCCCACAAAGTTGGAAAACAGGTTTAGGAGGTTTAGTGCTAGGATCCATTGTGCTTTACCTTAAGGGCCTGAGGATATTGATGTTCCAACTTTCTGGCTTCTGCTGTATGCATTCCCCAAAGCCGAGAAGCACCACCTGAATACCTCAAGTTCAAGCCTACACCTCTAACGGGCTCTGGAGAAAGTGCCGGCCACCCTCACGGCAGCGACTCCGCATCTATCGAAAGTTCATGCCACGTCGGCCTAACCTAAGCCCTCAAGCCCTACTTCAGCTGAAGCTCGGGTCGTGCAGATTCCCTACGACCAGTGGGCTGATACTCGCGGAGCCGAGGGGAGGGACCGGACGCGCGTTGCCCGGCCAGGTGCCTTAGGACTCTGTGAAAAAAAGGCGTGAACGGGGCTTGAAGGTTTGCAGCTTTGAACTTGCTAACTATGGCTTCGATGTTTATGTACTTCTCGTTTGCGCTGATGATTGTAAAGCTTTCACAGGCATTGGTGGACTGTGGTTTCAACGGTATCTACAGGGTTATGCAACGTGGTAAATCACAGTCGTCTATTTCAGCAGGAGTTCGAAGATTCCAAGGTTCCATGAGGGTAAGGTGAGGGTGTTACATCGGATGTTGGACGCGTGCCGAGTCTGCTTGATCCCTTGTATAGAGGTTCGGCAGGCAACGGACCCCACTCCCCAAAACTGCCCAGGTCCAGGTGCTGATGGCCACAACCCAGGCCAATGCCCAGGGCGTTCCCAAGGGCTGCATTGCTAAAGACTCCTCTGACTCTGCGGAAGGCTCTCTCAGGGCCAGGCTCTCTGTGGCTTTACGGACTTTAAAGTTATGAGGTTTGGGGCCTTAGCACTCTGTGGCTTTAGGGCTTTAGGGGCTATGCTGTTGTTGTTCTGTTCGAGGGGAGCGGTGGGCCTTTGAAGCAACCAGGATTCGGCTAGGAGTTTTGGGAACCCCCATCGAAACTCAAACACACTTGTTACGGCTTTCCGGTGGTGTAGGTTGGGGGCACTATCGCACCTTTGGGTCAATGCCGAACGCCGATCCTGTACCTAGTAACCATCGTTAATAACCAAGGCCAGTTGGAGAGCATTCAGCATCTGCCAAGATTCTTGATAACGAGACCCCGCCTCTCACCATTAATTCCCAAGAGTTTCATGTCCTACACTCAAACCCCTTTGCCAAACGCTCCATACCCGCTGCACGCACAGTCCTTCCACCATCGAACAGTTGCCTCCTCGTTCAGCCGCCCGGCAGTGTCCGTCCCCATGACCAAGGCCTGCTAACGGTAGCTTTCCCACTATATATAAAACTATATATACTATATATAAACTATATATAAACTATATATAAACTATATATAAACTATATATATATATATATATACACTTTAGTGCTGAGTTACGGCTTCACTAGGGAAGGCGAGCAGACCGGCACCAAGCTGTCTATGCTGCCGATCACCCAAAAAACACCCAGCATATAAGGAGCAGTAGCAACGACAGCACTGTTGTTTCGCACCCTGAAGCGTCGCAAACGGAAGATGATGAACACGACAGCGCCTGCTGGCTAAGGTGGAACCACTCGCGTCGAATACGCCGCGGGCTCCTTTCTTGAAGGAGGGGTCCGTTCTTCAAGGGGTTTATGACGAGGATCCTAAAAGTCGTTTCGCCACCTGTTTGCTGCTACTTACTTCCCTGGATAAATGAGACGGGGTGCTTGCATCATGTCGACTTGGTGCAGGGCTGGCACCACACCCAAAACCAGCTCTAGACACACTGATTGTCGGGACTTTCAAGCCATGCCGATTCAGTACGGAGTTCATAGAAGGAGGCGCCCTGCACAATCTCACAAACAGATAAGGAGAAAAGCCTTCCAGAGTTACTAAGGCTCGTTTCAGTGGAGTTCGAGCTCGTGGAATTCGCATCTGAATTGTTCGCGTCCGTGACATTCGAGATCAAGTCGGAGATATTCGAGCTCATGTCCGTGTCATTCGATCTGAAGTCGGGAACCGTGGGAACAATGCTCTCCAGCCAGTCTGGGCAATCGTCTGCGGCATTCCCCGAGGAAAACTTCTCCTGGCTTTCTCACAACCAGCAAAGCTGCCCTTCTGACTCAGGAGCCTGCTCGCAAACCAGCAAAACATCGACCTTAAAAAAGTTCTAGCTTTGGGGACCGAGTCGCAACACAGGACAAGGTTACACTAGCCAGAGGCCACGGGTACTTGAAGATAGCCAGCTTCGCCAGCTTCATGATGAGGGACTCGGCGACGAAAGCTTGAGGAATGAAGCTTTTGGTCTTGCACTACCGGTAGTTGGGGAATGATCGGTCTGTGCCAGGCTTCTCGTGTTCTGCAACAACGTATGTCCGTTCAGCTTCAGCGTCAGGGTGAAATACATGACTTCTGTCCTGCTGACACTTTAGTTCACTTCAAACCCCGGAGACAAACAAAACACTTCAAACACCCTAACGCCCCAGGTTCCAACAAAGCCTGCTAATTACAGTATGCAAGACTGTGCAACCTGCTCCTAGAACCCTACAAATCTTACTCGTCCTGTAAACAGGTGAGACTGCAAAATAAAGCAGCCGTCTATAGTACGTACAATCAACCCCACAAAACCAACCAGTTATGCCGCCGTTACAATCAACTCTGTAGATGTTGGTTCACTGCACCCGAGGGCTCAGAGTCTGCATAAGCTTTCGGGTCGCTTGACGATGCCAGAAGCGCAAACTTCTTGACCGGTCCTGCTTTCTAATGCATCTCCACAATCCGAGTGTTGCACAGCCAAGAGCCTGTGACACTTGAGCATTTGAAGAAGAAGTAATCTGCGTCTTTATTTTTTGGGCTATCTGCGTCTTTTCCTCCAGATTAACTGCATTTTTTGCTTGCATTGCAGAGACCTTCCACGCTTTTGGGTTCTTCACTGGGTTATCTGCGTCTTTTTTATTCTTGGTTATCTGTGTCTTTATGTCTGTGGGGGTTAACGGGGTTAGCCATGTAAATTTTATCAAACACCAGTCATAAATAATAGAAAACCACTTAATAAACGCGAATAAACCACTAGAAAACAATTGAAAGCAGCAGACGACAAGTAATGATGCATGCATGCTCTACGTTGTTTTCTTGGCTATGTCTGTCTTTACGTCTCTGGTTTGGGTGATTAACATAGAAAATCGAAAATCAGAAACATTTGAGGGACACCAAATAATAAAGCCAATAAGCCATTCGGCAATCATTGAAAAGCCACAGAAGATTTCTGAACACCAAAACATATAACAACCAATACGAAGCCTGCAGAAACCAATGTGCAATTCCGGTTCATGACATACCTTCAATGCGCCTGCCCGTGGGGCGACTCCTGTTCACCATATACACCACACATCTTCAACACCCCCACGTTTGAGCAATCCGCCTTCATCATACATATTACACACGCCCCCCGATTGGTCAATTCCGGTTCGTCATATATCTTGAACACGCCCTCCGGTTGGGCCATTGCAGTTCGTCACATATCCTAAACACGCCTCCTTTGGCGATTCCGTTTCATCATGTATCTTAAACAGGCCCCCTCATTTGGCGGCCCCCCATTGGGCGATTCCGGTTCGTCATATATCTTAAACACTCTGATTGGGCGATTCCGCTTCATCACAGATCTTAAGCACACACACACACACACACCCCTCATTCGGCGATTCCGGATTGGGCAATTCCGGTTCGTTCTTTATCTTAAACACGCCCCCCCCCATCGCCGATTGGGCGATTCTGCATCATCACATATCGATGGCCCGATTGGGCAATTCCGGCTTGTCATAGATATTAAACATGACTCCTCATTTGGCGATTCCGGACACCGCTACCATGAGGCGATACCGATTCGTCCCATATTGTAAACATGCCTCCCCATTGGGCAATTCCGGTTCGTCGTATATCTTAATCACGCTCCCTTCAGCGATTCCCGTTCACCATACATCTTAAACACGCCCCCTCATTAGGGGTTGCCGCTTCATCACATATCCTAAGCACGGCCCCGATTGGGCCATTCCTGCTCGTCATATATTTTAAGCACGACCCCTCATTTGGCGATTCCGGTTCGTCATATATCTTAACCACGCCCTCTTTACGCCCCCTGTGGCGATTCCGTTTCATCATACATCTTAAGCATGCCTGACCATGGATGGGGCGTCTCCGGTTCATGATATATGGTAAACATGCGCCTCCCCCCTTCCGATCGGGCGATTCCGGTTCATCATGTATCTTAAACAAGCCCCCCGCCTTCGTCATATATCTTAAACACGCCCCAATGTCAAATATATATATATATATATCTATCTATCTATCTATTTATTTATAGATTTATACACAGACACACACACACACACACATATATATATATATATATAGCAGACACACGTGACTGTCTCCCCAGCCCAGCAGCAGCTCGGAGCGGATGTGTGGAGTCTTGAATCAGGCGCAGGGCCTTCGCAGGTAAACTTCTGGCTTGCCACATAGCTAGGTACTTTTCAGTTTTCACGAGTCAGGGCTATGCTGTTGGGGACGTGCGAGGTTGATGCGAATCTTGGCAGTTCTAGCGATGCCAAAGGGTGTGCCGCCTCCGTGAGTTTGGAGATTTCAAGCCTGGCTTATGCGAGGGGATGTGCCTTGGATTCAGAGAGCGGCGCCGCTGGGCAAAGGTCTTCCCCTGTTTCCTGAGTTAGGCCAAGAAGGCTTTACAGCCTCGTTGCTCATAGGAGCCCAAAACGACTATTCTCACTACGGGCTCAAATGTTCGGATTCATGTTGGCGTCCTTGTTTCAGGAGGGTTTAAGAGTTGGGTTCAAGGTTTCGGGTGTAGGGCTTTCTGCTTGGATCATGGGTCGTCCAGGGATAACCCCAAGGAAAGACTTGGGGGTCGAAGGAGGCTGGGAACTGAGTGGCTTGAAATTTTTGGCTAGCCAGCGACAAGGCCTCAAGCTGTCAGAATGAGTCTTAAGAATCTCGGAGTTTGGGATGTTCCTGGGGCTCCGCATGCCAACGGGCCTCCGTAGCTGGGTGAAACTGAAAGGAATCTTCATCAGTCAATTCACTGGGACTGAAGTGACATGATGAGTTGGATTGATGTGAACGCTCCGGGAAGTTGCGACTGGCCGAGGATGAAGTACGCAGCTTACGCTGGCGAGCCAAGTCAACACAATATCTCTAGGGCCGCAGGACTCAAGGGTTTAGGGCTAGGGCTTTTTGGCCGTATGGTTCTTTTGGATGTGCTGCGATTATGCACAAAGCTAGGAACTAGGTTCAAAGCATTGATGCCGCGTAATGAAGTCTTCGAGAGCCATTCCCCGCCGAGCACGGCCCCTGCAAATCTATGGTTCTTATGCGGCAAAGGACCTTGGGTGGGTCGCCGATGAACTGCTGGGTACAGCAAGCCCTGTCAAATAATTCACTCCAGAATCACGATGTTCGGGTTGAGGTAGACTTGTTGTTGGCCTTTCAAGCTGAAATCCGCACTTTTGACGCGAGGGGCGAGGACGGAAAGGTCGCAGGCTGAGGTGATACCGTTCCAGGTCGCAGTGATGCCCCTGGCAGCCGGTTTAGGGCGTTTACAGGAATCAGATCTGGTCTGCAATGTTTTCTGTTGCTGCTTCCCCTCTCTTTCTTCGCGGACACTATTCCTCCAACAATACTGCAACACACTTTCGGGTTCTTACGTTAAGTTAAATAAGGGTAGCGAAGCATGCCTGGCAGGCGCGCAGGACAGTCCCCTTTCAGTAAACCCAACACAAAAGGTATCGCTGCCTCGCAAAAAGCTCGCCTCTCCTCTCCACATCCGGGAAAGGGTCAAGGACCTAAGCGGTGCTCGGGGTGGTTGGAGAAGGAAGTGCGTCTCGGCATTTTGGGACTTGAGGCTTGGGGATGCTAAGGGTCGACAATTGTTGCTGGTATGGAGGTTTCGAACATAGGAAGACGATCTTGAACACAACACAAGGAGATCTTGTTTCAATTTCCTGGTACCCCGAATTTCGGGAACAGCAGAGCTTCCATGAACGCAGAACCTGGCTGAAATCCCCAACGAAGTGCAACAAGATGCTGCTCTTTGCGTCTAGGATTTAGGGTCTAGCAGTCTAGCACCATTGCTAGCGTCCGATGTTGGTCCATGCTGAAGAAGCACCCTGTAGAAAGGTTTGTTCAGATCTTGGGTTAACTGGCTGCTTCTAGCATGCATATGGGCAGGGCACTGGCGGCTTCTAGCATGCAAAGGGGCAGGGCGCGGCACATGACATTCTTGCGTCAAGTATCCTTGCAAAACAGTTGATCATGTCACTTCTGTTCCGCCAAAAACATTGACTATCAGCTTGAGTTTTTGGCTTTGAAGCGTCTTTGCATTGTGGAGGGGCCCAGGACGGCAAAGAGTTAACTTGTTGCCCGGTCGGCTGGACTGGAAGAAGTGGTGCAGTACCTGACGAGCTCCAGGGTTCTGCTTGCGAAATCCAAGTTGGTCCCGCAAGCCCGAAGAAACATCATGGTCGATGCTCTCTTGCAGAGCTGCTCCATCCAAGACCAACCGCCCCACGTACTTCGGGAAGACCGTGCCATAGGACCCCCCGACCGCAGTACCTGGCGCCCAGGTTTCAGCTCTAGAGCCTGGTGTGCCAACTGAAAGCAAAACTCCGAATCTGCTACGTCCAATCAGCCTTATAAGGCGCCATCCGAAATCCCAGACCGAAAACACTCCGAACCCTGGAAACCAGGAAAGTCTGTAGGCGTTACACCCCAATGCCTCCATCCCTCAAGTCCTCGCAGTATTGAAGCTCTACAGCCCAAAGCCCAACTCAGAGCGTCGGAGGACTCTGAAAGTGGGCATCTTAGTGGGTTCACACTGTGGCAAGCGGAATCTATGCGGCTTCCTATCTCTCGTAGCTTGTTCACTGTAGGAGCCAAGGTCCGGACATCTTCCAAATCCAATGCTAGCAGAACATGAGCAAACATTCCAGAAGCCCTGTAGACTCTAGACACAGGGTCTTACGTTTCTATGTCGGCAGAGGCACCGTAGGACATGCCATAAATAGACATCTTCGGCGCTCCGATCGCGCGTCGGAACTGGTCGATGTCTTGGGCCAGGTCGATAGTCCCACCAAAGCGGAGGACGTTGTACTCCTTGGGCTTTCGAACTTAAGGTTTCAGCTTTAGGGCTTTAGCCCTTGGGGTTCCGGGCTCCAGGGTGGAAGTTGTGCAGTCAAGTCTTCTGAGTGAAGCTTGAAGACAAAGGCTGCGAGGAGCTCTTCAGGTCTTGGGCACTGTGGGCTTTGATTTTGAAGTCCCTTGAGCTCCGCGCTGAAGGCTAAAGGGTAGGCTTCCCCAAACTCCCCAACCCTCGCCCTCAAGCCCCCCACTTGATTAAATCTTCTAGTTGAGAAGCCGGCATATGAAGCTCGAAAACCCTGAAGCCAAGTTGTGCGGCCGGCGGGCACGTCCACTGGGTGAGGTCAACTTGTATCCTCCAACAGGCATGGCGGGGGACCGCGGCTGTGCCGGTTTCCTAACCCCGACGCTGGGGACCTGCAAAATCTATTCAGATTCAGCTATGGGCTTGATGAGCTGTTTGTGGAGTTGAAGGCCGTCGAACATCTCGCCGACTCAACGATACTTCAGGAAGTGGGGCTATGGCCTACTACAAGGGTGCAGGTTCGAAGGTTTCGACATGAAACCGGAAGAATCACGTAGACGGCAGCCGGTTGTGCAGTTGAACTGAGCTACACAGTCCCTCGGCCCAAAAAGCGCCCATGCAAGCTCTCAATTTTGAAGAGGGTCCCGGTAATCCCGGGAAGCTGAAGGCTCGCCTTTCTTTTCAGCCGCTAAGTTTATAGAGGCTTGCGCTGCCATCTTTTGTCGGCTGCCCAGCCGCTGGGCACATTTTGTCCGACACACACCGCCTTTTTGACGAAAAGTTCAAGGTGTACCCTTTGCCTCGGAGTTTTCGGAACAGCAACTGCATAGAAGCATTATGGTTCTGGATCGAGCGCCCGTAGATGAGCAGGTAGGCGCATTGCTAGAGCCCCAGTACCGTGAACATGGCACCATGGGGAAACAGAACGTCAAGGAGCCAACGACGGGAGCTGTCCTGAAGTTGTGCATGAAGCATGCCTTCCGACATTCACGTCGACACGATGCGCACTTCGCTACAAGGCGATAAGGCGGGAGGCCATTGCAACCAGGACTGCATGGCATGCATCAGGCCGCGGGTAAGCCTATCGGCATCGTGAGCATTGACAAGATGGAGGGCGATGCGACTCGCTCGAACTTCGCCCTCAGGCTGTAGCACGATGCACAGGAATGCGGCGGCATAAACCAGACCATCAGGCGCTCCAGCAGCACCCAGAGTTGTGGCGGGATGGAGGACGCTGAGCCTCACAAGAGCTTCGCGTTCATGTTGCAACACGATGATACGAAAGGCCCTTGCAACCCGGATGAACCAGACCACCGTAAGCCTCCATGGTACAACACGATGAGACAGATGGCCCTTGCAAACAGGAGTGCGAAGGCACGGACCATACCATTGCCGTACACACCGACATTCGGCAGGATGGAGGGACATTCAGACAGCCGCAAGCCACAGCAGTGTAGTGATGGCAAAGTTTTTCGTGAGTAGTTCTATATGTGCATACACGTATGTCTCGAGTGGCACCGTTCATTTGATAATCGCGCGGGGTGTTGCTTTGCCGTTTGCCTCCCCCGCCTCAGGAGGAATAGCGCAAACCTGCTGTTTGAGAAAGCTGTAGAGAAGTTGACAAGCTGTGCTAGGATGGCCTCGCATGATTGAGATCCTGCACCACGTCAGGAGCAGTATTGCTCTGTTGCTTGCCTCCTTGACCCACGGAGGAGCGACTGAGAGTTATCACACAGCTGCTGAAGGTTAGCTTCTTGGGGTGTCTGGTTTTTGCTTCGCGAGAAGGCACATTTGCCGGTGCCCTCGCGTTGACACAACGAGAGAGCCCATGCCGGCTTTTCCTTGCAGGCGCTTCACGAAGCCTTTCCGTCTTGGCTGGATTTATGTAAAACCCGGAAAACCCATGAGGATTGCCGAATCTGTGGGCTTTCAGGGGAGGCCTCAAAACCCCGAGGTGCGAATTCACTGCACATGATTTTTGGGACCCGCCTGACTGAGGACATGCCTATCCGAACCAGAACCAGAACCAGAAGAATAAGCATTACTACATAAACCAGACATGCACGGATTGTTCATAGCTTTGCAACGCAGCATCTCAAGTATTGTTGTATGTCACAGGTGGCGACAGACAAGCAAACTTGAAGACTGAATGGAACAACTCCACATGCCGCTCATGCCTCAAAGCGAACTGTAAACACTCAGATGCAATGCCCTGAATCTGTGGTTCGTCCGAGGGTCGTGGGGCTGTGTAGCAGAGACTGTGCTCCAGCTTGAGCAGACGGTAGAACCATCCTTGTGTAGCGTATTGTTGCAGCCCGTAGGCCCAGACACTCAAAGCCTCAAGGCTCAGGACTGACAGGTTCAGGCTGTCGCTTTGAAAGTCTGTGCCCGCTCATTGAAAGGCGGCCCGTGGCACAGAAACTTCCCGCAAGCACGGACTCTGGGACGTGAGATCCTTCAGCGTTCTACAAGTACAGAAAGGTTACAGTACAGGCCGATTAGGAGATCTTTTGTCTCTGGATTCCTGGGATCCCGGCTTGAGAAGGCCACAACTATGAACTACAAGAAACTTGCCACTGACTACGCCCCAGTGTCGGACGTAGGTCTCGTTGAAGGCCATGATGCCTGCGGCAGGAGGCTTCCACGGCAAAGGTTTGGCTCCTGTCTAGAGTCTACAGCGTTAGAATACGGAAACCTTCAAGCCCGCATGAACACCTATAGGCCTACTTGAACCGTTGGAAACCTTATGGACGGTTCCCTAAATCAATATCAATTAGGATTTTCGCTCCCAGCCACTCGACACTGATTTCGCAACCCTAGCTCCTCAAGCCGGGAAAGGAGTTGGATTTAGAGACCGCCCCGTCTCGTCGCAACTCAAACTGCCCAGCGCCGACCCTGCAAGCACCTAGCCTTCGGGCTAGGGCCTTAATCGAGGTTTGGGGCCCCTTTGCGAGGGGGCTTGCCTCATTGTGCTGGGAGCTCCCTCTGCTTAGAGTGTGTGTCGAAGAAAGCCCATCAGCTCAAATCCCTGAGCCCTAAGATTTTGGTTCCATTGAATACTCGTGATTTTCCGATTGCTTGATTTCTTCGGGTCTTGCAGTGTGCATGGCGCCGGTCCGGAATCTTTACATTTGCGGGGCTTGAGCAACTCACACCCCAAAAGCGTTAGATTCAATAGACGCTTCAAGTGAAAGCATTGGGCTTCGTGACTTCGAGCCTCCGGACTGGAGGGATCGAGTCCCCTGGCCTGCCTTGCCTTGCCTCCCTGCCGCGCCCACTCTTGGAAAGGCAGCGGGGGAGTGTTCTTTTTCTGTCAAGGTAGGCAGACACCGTCAAGCAAGCCCTCGCCCAACGTACGTCGGTTCTCAGCAGTGAAGATGCTCGTGCAGCCGGCGGTCACCAGATTAGGCAGACATACAACCACCCTGAACCGAACTCCAGATGCTTGTTGTCACTACTATTTGCTTGGTGTCAAACGTGTCCGAGCCAAAGAGCTGAAACTGACGGCCCAGTGTTGGACCATGGATATGAACACGATCAGTTGACGATATTTTCTGTCGATAGCTGAACACACCAAAGTCTCTGCGAATTTCTGCGCCATGCGAGCCTTCGTTGGTCTCCGCCAGCCCACCGAAGGCCAAAATTGGATACACGTACCTCAAGGCAGTTACGGACAGAGACTAGGTTGGAAGCTTACGGTTCAGGGTTGAAGGGTAATGCTCTTCTATAATACTAAGTATAATGTTTCAAGTCTTGTGCCAAGGTGCGGGAGTCTTGAGCTTAGATGTGGTGTTGGGACTCGAGTCAGGTAGGGTTTAGAATTCGGTTACGCAGCCTCGCAACCCTTAATCATTGTGTGCGTGTGCTTCGCGCTTACAGATAGGTTTACATACAAAGAAAGGCTGTGGGGTTCCTATGAGTTCTGTAATATAAGCACGTGGAGGAACCCTCAGGCCTCAGTACTCGTATTACTAATGATTAAAACTCCTGTATTTCGATTGGTCATCTCAAGATTCGGGGCGTGCCTTCGCGCTTCTCGGAATCTGCAAAACGAAACGCTTCCAGACCGCTGGACTGAGTTAGAATTGTTTACATACAGGCAGCTCTTCTTAAGCAGCCGAGAGTATGCCCAGACTCTACATCAATGCATATGTAGCAAGGATCGCTTTGCAGAGTTCAAGCTGCTCCTGCGCAGGTTTTGCTCAAAGCTCCGCGAACCGCGTAAGTGCGACACAGAGCCAAGGGGCTCCTTCGCCTCTGCAATATCACTTTCCGATGCATCCGTGCCGATCATCAGCTGGATGATCTGCATTGGCTTCATGCGAAGTCAGACAATCGAGTGGGTGATCATGAGTGGTAGCAAAACAGATTCAGGGAATTGGGCTGAAGCTTGAGTTGGGGCCTTTGGTCGGTCGGTTCAGGCCATTACGACAAACCATTGTGGTGGTGATCATTTCCGTACTCACCACGTTCTTTTGTTGCTGATCTTATTGCTACTGCATTGCTGTCGTCAATGTTGCTGCTGCTTGCCGGTCCCAGTCAAAGCCGACGTTGCTTTCAAGTAAATTCACGATGGTGCATTCCGATCCTTGTCTGTTGATTTCATTGATGTCCCGGAAGGTGACGGCTGCAGGGTAGGAGTGTGTTTTTGCTGTTGCTGCGGGGGGTGGGGGTGTTGTCTTTTTGTTGTTGCTGCAGGGGGTGTTTTTTTTTTGCTGTTGCTGCGTTTTTTTTGCTGTTGCTGCCGGATGTTTTTTTTTGCTGCTGCTGCGTTTTTTTTTGCTATTGCTGCGGAGGGGGGGGTGTTTTTT